CCCGCAGCGGCTTCTACGGGCCCTGCTGAGGCGGGAGGAGGAACCAGGAGGAGAAGACCAGGAATGCTGAATCCCGACCCGTCCCCGGAGCAGGACTGAGCTCACGGCCGCGGTTTTCGGATGCCTCGTGAGACACCCCCAGCCTGGAGTTGAAGGAGCTGCGGGAGTTTGGCATCTCCCCAAACCCGGCCTTTGCTTGCCTTTTGTTGTGCTTTTACTCCGTGTTTCTCACCAAATGTCTTGTCCTGCTTTTTATTTTTTTTATTTTTTTTTAATTTGTTTTGGTGGGGTTTTTTTTGTATTTGATAATAGGCAAACTATTAATTGTTGGCAATTGTTCTGCATGGCTGGATTAGCACAGGTCATTCATGGACGAAGAAAGGAGATTTCCATTTGCTGAGTGTGTCGCTGTGAGAGGGACGAGCGGGGTCTGTCCTTGCTGGACCATGGAAATGTATTCCTGACTTTTACCTTGCTTCCTTCCCTTCCTCAACCCATTAAACTCGTGCCTGCATCAACCCCCCGAGTCTGCCTGGCCTTCTTTGCTCTCCCAGCCCCTTTCCCCGGTGCCTTTGGAAGTCCCCACTTCCAGAAAACACCACGCAAATAATTTCAAAGAACAAGTCAGATTCCCGTGGTGGAAAACTTCTAAAACCAATCCTGAGACCTCTTATCAGAGGCAGAAAGGGACCCTGCAGTGGGTGCCTCCTGCTGTGACATAAACAGGGGAATTTTAAAAGATGTAAAGAAATTTTAAAAGATGTGATAACTGGGAAAAGCCTTTTAGAAGAAAAGCCGAGATTCCTCAGGGAGATGTGGAGGGACAGGAGCAGCAGTTGGGGCGTCCCTTGGGCACAGCCTGGAGGTGTTGGGGTGCAGCTGAGCTCAGCCCCTGCTGAGCCTGGGAGGGGAGGCACGGAAGGATGGGAAGCGTCTCTCCCTTGGGAATTTGCTGGGTTGGGAAAACAAGGCTGGGACTGAGAGATTAAAGGAGTAAATTTTAAAGAATTTTTAGTTCTGAGCCTTTATTTGGGTGTTTGAAGCTGTGCCTGGCTGAGCTGGGCTTTATCAGGCGCTGCTTTGTTCCTCCTGGATTGGGATGAAGGTGATGTTTGGACACTGGAGCTCTGCTCCCTGAAGGAAGAAGGTTTGGAAATCTTGCCCTGAAGGCTCCGGGTAGCTCAGCCCCTAAAATTCCCAATATCTCTGAAAAGTCTCTCTTGGATTTTTGCCTGCCTGTCCAGAATGGAGCTGAACTGTAATTAAAGATGCTGATGAGGTGGTGCCGACTGCAGTCATTAGTGGACTGAAATTAAAGGAGGTAAATGAAAGAATTAATGATTTTAAGGAGGAGGTTTTTCTTAATAAACACCAGAACACAGTGGAAAGCTGGCAGTTTGATGTTCTATTACAGGAGGAGCTTGGTCTGGATTAAATGTTTAATTTAATGTTTTTTGCCATCTCAACTGAAGCTATTCCCTGATCAAAGGGGATGAATTCCAAAAAGTCCAATGGCTCCAAAGGGCTGTGACTGAGGCATTCCTGAGAGCTGCCTTGGACAGGTTCAGGAGGATGACAAAATTAATTTCCTTACCCTTTCAATTCCCTTCTCATTAATTGAACCAAATCCCCTCCCAGATTGCACAAAAACTCCCCTCGAAGTTGGGAAGTTTCGTCCAAGCATTCAGAAATTCAGGTCAAACTTCTCAAAATAAAATAAAAGGCGACCCTCAAGCACCACTTCCCCCTTTCATTCCTGTCCCAAGCGACCTTTTTGGATGAAAACTTGGTGTGGCAACAAGTGAAGCACAATTCTGAGTGAAAAAGGGAAATCTGGGTGGGTTGGCAGTCAGGCAGAAAGGGATTTATTGGCTGCTGCAGAAAATGAGTGGGAATATCGTGTTAGACAGAAATGTTCTTCACATTTCTTCTGAAGAGCTGCAACAATCATAGAAATTAAAACAAACAAACAAACAAACCTGGGGTTTTTTTGCAGAAAAACAGTGAAAATCCCTTTCAGCACCAAATTCTGCAAAAAGAGCTGCAGCATCTCCTGGGTTTACAGGAGAAAGGAAGAGTCAGGAAAACTCTGGAGAGCTTTTATGGCTTTTTTTGGGGCTGCCTGGAGGATCCGAGACATTCCTGCACCTTTTACTACCCATTCCCCGTAGGAATTGTTGGGTTTGCTTTGCATTTGGTCGGGTTCCCAGCAGGGAAATGGGTTTGCTCACAGTTTGTGTTTATGATGGGTTTAACCCAGGAACCACGAGGCCTCTTTCATCTCCTGGCTTTGCATCCATTAAATATTCCCGACTCCATCCCTCCCTCTCCACCTCCCAGAGCTGGCATGAGTCAAAATCCGATTTGTTTAGGACTTCTGGCGTTTTGGGCACACACACACACACACACACTGTGGCAGCCAGAGTTTTAATTGGAGTCCTGAGTGTGCAATTCCAGCCTTGATAAGCGCCCGGGAGATTTCAGATCCCTGTGATATTCCCATGAGCAACATCCCAAAGCTTTGGGCTCCTGGCAGGAGGAGATGGAGCCAGCCAGACAAGTTGGATTTAGGATCACCTTCAGAAGTGGGGTTTGGGCTCTTTTTATCTTCTCTGCAGCTTTTGAGGATTTGGCTTTCAAACCACAAGCTGGTCTTGGAGTCGATGGATAATTCTTGTTGTAAAGGAAAGTCAGGGAATCTTGGAATGGTTTGGGTGGGAAGGGGCCTCAAAAATCATCAACACCATGGGCAGGGACACCTTCCATTATCCCAGGTCCAACCCTGCCTTGGGATCCAGGGACAGCCACAACTTCTCTGGAAAAAAAAAAATTAAATTATTTTTTAAACATTTCTCTGTGTGCAAGGAGAACTTTGGGAAGGTCTGGTCAATCTTGAGGGACAGGAGAGTTTCCACCCATCGTGGTGGGGGTCATCCCAAACCGGGGACATCCAGGGACTCACGGCTGGAATTGTGCAAATTCTGATTTGCGTTTCAACGCCAAGGTGGAAGGAATTGGAGCTGGTGGGGAAGTTTCTGGAATCCAGCAGGAACCTTGGCCGCCCCTTTGAACCCCTGGTCATGTTCAAAGAGTCCTTTTTTTTTTGGAGATCATCCCCCATTTGCATGTCTGAGTGGTCGAGGGAAGCGTTTGGGGAACTTTGAAGATTTCTGCTCTTCAGAAGTCTCCAACCAGCGTTTATTTCCCAGGAGATGTTGGGGAAGATACTCCCAGTCCGGGGCTGATTTGCCTGTCTCTGCCTCGGAGATGAAACACGAGGAGAGGTTGGAATGCTCAGCCCTGCCCTCCAGTCCGCTCCTCAACCGTCTGCAATTACTTTTTAATCTGGAAATTGCCTTTGAAAAGGAACTGGAATTGCTGCACGCTGAGGTGCTCTTTGAGACGTGCAGAGTGAAAGCCAGAATTGGCTTTCAAAGACGGAGGGGGGGGGAAAAAAAGGAACAGGAACAATATAAACGACTCTAATTAACTGCTATTAATTTGGGGAACAACTTTGCATAATGGTTCGAAGCCCAGCAGGGGGAAGCAATAATTTAGTGGCAGATGTAAATGGGTTTGGCGTCTTTGATGACCCCAAAGATGAGCTTGGGGAAGGCTTTGAGTGTCTCTGAGCAGCCCCAAATTCCCAGGCATCCTCCACTGACCTCAATCGCTGTCCTGGAGTTTGATGTCGGGACAAAGCCCGACCTGGAGACTCCTGAGGTGAAGGATTTGGACACTCAGTTCCCAAATTGTGTCTCAGATTCCATCACGGGAGCGTGGCGGTTTAATAAGAAAGGAATAGATCAGATGCTGATCCTCTTTGATGCTCTCTGCTGAGTCAAGAAAATAAAATCTGTTCCCTCAAAGAATCCACTTCCCAGTGCCTTTGAGAGTGGTGGAGTTCAATCAGCTCTAAATGCTTTCTAACAATTTTATTTCCTTTATTTTTTTTTGCGTCTCTCCCCTCTGTTCGAGAGGAATTTGGTGAAATAGGAAAATTTCGTGCCAAAACCTTGTGCCCTCCGTGCGGAGGGGAAAGAGATTCCACAGGGAAGTTCGCTGCCCCTCTCCTGATGGTTTCATTCATCTGTGTCACGATTCCTTGGGATGCAAAAGAATTTCCTGAGTAACCCAAATGAATCAGCCTCCGACCAGGAATTAACCGGGCTCGTACGATTTGAGGATAAAAGAAAACCTCGGCGGAGGAATGCATAGATTAGAGGGAGGAAATGAAATCCAGGCAAGAAACACAAACAGAGAGGAAAAGCAAATCCCCAGCCAGGGGTGTTTTGCATACGAGGAATCGTTAGTAATTGGCTGCTAATGAGCTACAAGCAAAATTTGTGTCCCGGGTCCTCGGGCTCTCTGGGCCAGGGTATAAAACCAGCCGGGCCAGGGGAGCTAAAATCACTCCTGCTTTATTCTCCTGGGAGAAAAGGGTAAGTCTTGATCTGCTTCACATTTTCCTGGGTTGTTGCTGTCTTTGTGTTTTATTTTTTTTTTTTTCTGCTGTTTGTCTGTAGCACTCCCCGGTTTGCGCTCTTTAAAATTGCCGGGGAGACCTCGAAGCCGATTTTTCTCCAGGGAGGGACACTCTGTGAAGGGTGGAGATTCTTCTTGTGCTGACCTCGGGTTTTTTTTTTCATTTCTGCCACCCAAATCTTTCCCTTCCGAGATGTTCCAAGCTCTGCCCGCAGCTGGGAGTGGATGCGGGGAATCTGCGCAGAGTTTTTGGCTCTGCAAGTGGAATCGCCAAATATTTGGGGTGGGAAGGGACCTCTGGAGATTTCCCAGTGCGACCCCCGGGGTCACCTGGAGCCGGTGACACAGGAAAGGCTCCAGGAGGATTTGGAACGACTCCAGAGCGGGAGAATCCCGGGCAGGAGACTCTGAATATTTCCAGAGGGAAATTCCCTGAACTCCCTTGCCCGGAGCAACCGGGCACCCTCAGGGTGAAATTTCTGCTCCTCGCTTTTATTCGCTGAAGAATTTTTAATTTTTTTTATTTTTTTCCCTCTGTTTTGGGGCGCAGTTTTCCCTCGCTTTTCTGACTGTCTGCTCCCTCTTTTCCCCACTAATTTCAGGGCTGCGGGAGGAGAGAGGAGCGCTCAGGAGGAGGCGCAGCTGCCCTTGGTGGTGTGGGGAGTTCTGGGCTTGGCTCAAATCTCCTTTTAAGCCCGGATTAACTCTTCATTCAATCCTCCAAAGAGCTGCGCGCTCTCCATCACCACAACACCTTAATTAGTCGATTAATTACAACCCGTCCCTTGTCTTCCAGGCTCACACGCCGCAGCCATGTCCTGCTACGACCTCTGTGCCCCCACGTCCTGCGGCCCCACCCCGCTGGCCAACAGCTGCAACGAGCCCTGTGTGAGGCAGTGCCAGGACTCCACCTACGTGATCCAGCCCTCGCCCGTGGTGGTCACCCTGCCCGGGCCCATCCTCAGCTCCTTCCCCCAGAACACCGCCGTGGGATCCTCGGCGTCCGCGGCCGTCGGGGATGCTCTGAGCGCCGGGGGTGTCCCCATCAACTCGGGCAGTTCGTCCTCGGGGCTCGGAGCTTTGGGCTATTCAGGTTTTGGGGGGGTTTACGGGAGGTCCTACCGGCGCTCCAACCGCTGCGGGCCCTGAGGATGTTTGGGGAAGGAAGGAGCAGGAGATGGGAAGAGCGATCCGGATGCAGGACTGAGCCCCGTGCCCGCCCGCTTGCTTTGCCCTGAGCTCACGGGGTTTGGCCTTTCCCGTTTGATGCCTTTCTGTGCCGTCAGGGGGGTGAAAAATGTGAAAAATGCCACTCGATTGTCGCTGGGTGTCCAGCTGTAAAGCGCTGCCTTGAAGAACAGGTGATCGGTTTTAATCCGTATTCAGCCCTTCTGCTTTCTCATGCTCTATTTTTTTTTTTTTTATTTTTAAATTCCACTTCTTGCTCATTAAATCCTTGGTGCATCACGATTTGTGGTTTGCAGTGTTCCTTCTCTCTCTTCCTCTTTGGAACCTCCTCTGTGAGAAATTTACCTGTGCATAAATCATGGTACCAAGCAGATCTGCATTTAAGGTATACCACGCTAATTACCGAGGAGTTAATCATAGAAAAATATACACAATGAGGTAATATAATTTTTTTCTTTATTTTTTGGTGGGGAACAATTCCCTTCTGTCTCATTTCTGGAAGAACAATATGAAATAATCACTCTTGGCTAAAAACAACTGGGGGGAAAGAGGTGGGAAAGTTAAAGCTGCTTTAGAGACAAAACTTTATTTAACTTTTTCCAATATCCCATCTACACATCCACTCCATAAATTCGAATCAGTTCCCCTTCGTCCTCTGAAAGAATTTGCCTTTGGAAAGAATTTCTCCCCGTATTTTGTCAGCTCCCTGACACTGAAAGGTGAAATGAGGTCACTCTAAACAAACCCAGGCGGAACATTTAAAACCCAAGAAACAAAATGAAAACTTAGGCCTCGTTCTTCCTTTGTTGTCCTGCAAGCTGGGAAACGCTGCAATTATGTCTTAATTACTTGTTAAACGATGTGGTGATTGAGGGACCTTTGTCACCGGGAATCCTCAGAGCAAGAACAATTACTCAGAACCTCGGGGAAGATAATGAACCTGGGCTAAATTGCTAAACAAACATTCATCAGCATCGTGTTAAGTACCCCAATTAAACTCCCATTCCAATTTTTAGAGACGACGAGGAGGGCAGATCCTGTGAGATAAAGAACCCTCAGCACGCCGGGGAGGAAAAAAAAAAAAAATAAAGGACAAATGAAAACCAGAGAGGCTTTTGTGCAGCACAAACACGGGTTTAATGTCAGAGAGAAGATCAACAGCAAAGTGCAGGGAATCCAGCAGAGCCCAGGGACAGCAGGGGATGCAGGAGTCGCGCTCTGGGAGCAGGGCCTGGCTCAGGAGCAGGACACAGCCAGGCC